CTTGAGTAATTCCGTATATCCTACTTGCGGTTTGTAGTAGAGAACAGTAAATTAAGACCGGTAACCCTCATTAACTTTTTGGGTGAGCGAGAATTCCTGAAGGTCCTTGACAATGAGCTAAAACTTGTACACATTTATTTTACATATTTCTAATTAACTCCCCCACCCCCCAAAAAGTCTCATATTTTGAAATCGTGAATCTGGAAACTCTAAATTGTCAACACTCTATAAAGAAAATAAAAATAACCCAGCCAGCTTTACTCTATATGCAACTCATTTACTTTACGATAATGTATGAGGGTGTTACCCTACTAATGGCCTCACACCCTTCACTGCATGTCTACCACACTGGGGAGAGCTGAGGCAGCGTTGTGTATCCACGAGTGCCAAACCCACAGGAAGTATAGGCATTAATGCGGGTGTTCATGAGGACGTTGTCGATGTCCGCACTGAACACCAGCTCCTTATCAGCGACAGCACATCCGCATTGTCAGGGCTCAATCCCTCCCGAGTCCCCACCTCAACCCCATCTCGGTACACCCTCACTGCTGTCACCAAACTTGAAAGAACCGTCAACAACCGTGTCAAGTTCTTCTCGATCCCTTAGCATATAGTAATCGCAGTTTGTGACACCATACACTACTAATTCATATTGGTCTCCACTTACAGCAGGTCACAACTGTTGTATTTATTTAGGAAAAATTGTATTAGCCTCTGTCACATTAATATTATATAAATATGGGCTAATGACTTGTATTCATTATATACATTCTATAACCCAGACTGTTGAGCATACAGCTACATAAGCATTTGTTCTGTCACACCTTCTAGGGTGGACAGCACATAAAACTATAGACTCGACCCTCAGTGTGTGGGTAGGATGTTTAGTTAATGGCTGTGTTGAAGTGTGGTTACTCTCCAGGCACCAGACTCAAGAGAGTACAGCCCAGTTCCCCTAGTTCACAGCCCTGCACGTTGCCTTAAAAGTCATGTCGAGAGACCAGCTCTCCAGGCTGTGCCTCTCTAAATATTTCACCGAATTACAAGCTAATAGCTAATCCTCATAAGTCTGTCGATACCAAATAATGTACAGACATTACTACCCAATAAAACAAGAAAATCACCATATGTGTTTACATTATATAAGGAACAACGAGTGAAGAGAACATTACCTGTGTGTCTTGTTTGACTTGCAATCTAAGATAATTACAAGTACAACCCAGGACAGCTCTGACGATTTCAACTATCAACCAATCTACGACTGTATCAAAGATGACATGCCGTGAGATTACCTGATGTCTCACTCGGCTGCAACAAAAGTACCAGCGACTAACCTACACTCATTCAGGCAAGTGTTAACAAGTGAGATAGTTTGATATCATACCAATGCTAAACAAAAATACCTGGCTGACACGATCCTTAGTGTAGGGGTCAGCGGTGGCAGGTGGTACACTACCATCTTCACGTTATTAGAGGCTAGTGATGAAGTTAGCCCATAATATTCAAGAGTTTTCACCCTACTTACAGCTACAACTCAGAATTTAATGTAATCGTCTTATTTACCGACTTTTCACCTTTTCACCGTTAGCAGAAAGCTGGACGGAAGCACCACCGCAAACCTGTTACTAGGTGGAGTTTCCCGCCTTGGTGGAGCACCCGCCCGGCGACCCCGATATAGTGACAAGGGAGTCCCGCTTCCCTTGTAAGTACATGGTCATTAGTCAAGTGTACCTTAGTCTTGCTCGACTGTAACCTAAGTTAGCAATTGAAAATATGGCCTAGTCTTAGTGGGTCCCAGTGCTAATGCCCTTTTATAATAATTGGGTCGTAACATAATGGAAAGGGAAAGTTGGGTTCACATCTGGTTTTCTTGGAATCCTAACATCGCACAAGAATATCTGGATACGAATACTGTATGGTGCCCAAAGTTCTTAACATCGTTAAGACACAGTGCACAGAAGAGTCGTAAGGGAAGATATACTGCTTCCTGCATCAGTGTTGTCAAGTTGTTGTTCATCCTTAGCGAGGCCAACTTAGGGCATACAGAAAGGTGTGCCCCTGGCGAGGTTGAAATTGCATCGTCGCTAGAAATGAGCTCTTAACTATTCTTCGCAAGACCAGTGATAGTATTATGATAGCACCTCCACGTTAATGTTATAAGTACCTATTATAATTTATTTTTATTTTTGTTATTGTAGTGGTTTGTGTATAGCGGCACCCTCAAGCGAGGAAAGTGCTAAGTTATGGCTCCATGTTCTATCTAGGAAAGTGTTAAACATTTACTCCTGCAGTCCTCGCTGCGTGGCTTGAACTCTGAATGTTGACTACATCCAGAGCCTAACATTAGAGTAGTAGACGGTTGGCAAAGGCCTTGGTGGTTAATAGTGAAGTCGTGCTTAGGGTCGAGTGTATTGTAATTAGGAAAGATATGAGTTAAAGTTATCGCATGTTTATCAGTTTTGAACGTAATATATATATATATATATATATATATATATATATATATATATATATATATATATATATATATATATATATATATATATATATATATATATATATATATATATATATATATATATATATATATATATATATATATATATATATATATATATATATATATATATATATATATATATATATATATATATATATATATATATATATATATATATATATATATGCTGATAACCACGGGGAATCGTGTAGCTACATATGTATAAGATAATATATACTTGTCAAGGATGGGTGAATGGTTAAGATAATCACTTCGTCACGTAAGCTGAGCATAACAATATCTCCTCACGTTTTCTGGGCATACAGAACAACTTGCTTATCTAAGCAGGTGGTCACGTACCCAAACATAACGTGCCTCCTTTCGGAAGACTTCTGGAAAAGCATGTCTTCTACAATCCTGGGATATTTAGTGTTGCCTGACTGCGTCCACAATGGGCCAAGAAACAAAAGTAAAGAAATAGGGCTCAGTAGAGTTGCTTGGAGAGAACGTCAACCGCTGGATAATCCATAACCTTGAAAGCTCCTTTCCCCCGGCACCTGGGTAGTTATTAGGGGAAGATTGAGAGGGGAGGATATGTACAAGAGGAAGGTTTGTCATGTTATATAAGGATTGGAGATGTTTGGTGCTTACTTTTACTGAATATACAGGTATTTCGAAAAGGTGGAGCTGTTGGCATTGTAACTGATTCAGGACCCCACCGTGAGATTTTTTGTGTTGTGTATTAAGTTTTCACAATTTCTCGGGAAGTGCTGTTCAACAACAAATGATCAGATCATAACTGTGAATGAAAACAACCGCAACAGTGATTGGGGTCAGATATACTCCGTAGAAGAAAATACACACAAGGAAACAATGTGTAGTTGTTTTTTTTTGGTTGGGGTAAAAAAAATAATCAAAATTTGTGCACTAGAAGATATGCAGAAAGTACAAAATACTAAGCAGTCAGTATGTAACAGTACATTTTCTCACCCGTGACAGCTCTATCAGCAAACTTAAGTTGCGTTTTACACCAATATCCACTCTTTTGAAACCGCGTCACGACGTTAATGGAGAATAAAATATCAAACATAGTAATTTATGATATCTTGCATACAGATAAACTAACATAACCACTAATAATACAACTATGCTGTATACCCTACCCTAAACAGAACAGGTGCGCGACTAAGCTAACCTTGGCGCCAGTCTTGTGACAACCAGACTTAAAATACCAAACTCACTGAGACCGTGGACTTTATTATGGACTGTATTAATTATGTGTGTTTATATTCCCCCTGCAACTACACGGTGACCATTACAGGGGGGATTACGAAACTGCTAAACTGCCAGAGGAGCGTGATCACAGAAAGCGTTGTGATACAGTGCATATTATCTGGATTTGATTAAGACAACATATTCTCACAAGCATTATGTAGCAACAACAACGGCTATCAACGCATCGGTAGCGCACATGAATCTGGTTTCATATTGGATCTGACAGCCACCAGTCATGTCAGTTCAAACACGTACAATAATCCCATGCACAATTCATACCACCACCTCCTCACAACTCGGCCGAACCCCAAATCTTTCTAAATCAGACTAACTAGATATTTATACGACGTGTACAGTGTGTTAGTGTTACAACTACAACATGCACTACTATTACAGTACTGTTAAAATTGAGTTACTACTATGACTGCTACTACTGTACTATAAATATTACTACTAGAATTACAATGATTACTTCTAGAACTACTACTTTTGTGTTTTCTCGTTTGGGGGAGGGGGTTCACTTCCTTTTTTACTGCAGTCTCCTGTGACCATTTAATTTTCAATTTTTCTAAACTCTTTCCAGTAGTGGACACAGGGATTATATTATCATAACTGCCACACACATCCATGTTTAGGAGACGCTGGAAGCAACTTGGCAGGAAAGATCCCATCCAGTATATATATATATATATATATATATATATATATATATATATATATATATATATATATATATATATATATATATATATATATATATATACACATATATATATATACACATATATATATACACATATATATATATATATATATATATATACATATATATATATATTAGAAACGTTGCCTCTGAAGATGTCTTGAATAAAGACGAAAGCTAAGGTGCTCCCTTGTTTCCATTTTCCCGTTTGATTTTATCAATATCTATCTCTCTCTCTCTCTCTCTTTAGATATCTATCTAGATATCTATCTAGATTTCTATCTATATATATATATATATATATATATATATATATATATATATATATATATATACAGTATATATATAGCTATATATATATATATATAGATATGTATATTTTAATGTGATCTATTTTTGACGCTAACGCAACTGCTAATGTGTGAATGGAATCCCATTATTAACCATATTTGCTGCGTTGTTACTTATTGCATTCCCACGAAACCTGTACAGTAATAATATTGTATTTCGTTTGGTCGGCAGGTCGACCAGCGTGGACAGCAATTGTGGAAAGTATGACTTCTCTGTGCTCTGCCGACACTGTGACCAAGAAAGCTCTGAACCCATCCCCTGCCAGCTGACAGGTAAGTCCCGAACAGAAAAAACCCTTGTAGTGTATGTTCGCCTGATGGTATTATTCCATAATAACTCCCAATTCACGGACAACAATACAGTACTAATGCCCTTCCACTTACATAATGCAATTTTAAGCACTTTTTCTTCTATAAGCATCAGTCGGAAACTACTCATTATCGAAATATTTATTTTTTTAAGTACAGTAATTGTTTTGGTCGGTCACAAAGCACCCACAGCTTCTTACCCCTGCGGCTGTTGGGAACAATGGCCAGAGCACATGCATTAGCACTTAGCAGGTGCATTGTGGGAGAGCTGTAGCCAATGAATTAAGATTATTAATTATCTGCTAATGGCTCGATCATCTTTTTCCTTGAGGCGCCAGCCATGTTTCTGTGTGCACGCTGGGACTGGAACTATTTTGCTGCCATTTCATCGTTTTATGAGAATAACGACAGGGCTTTAGACTTTCTTCGTGAGCACTGTGTTTTGCCCAGGTCTCCTCCAAAGTGCCCAACGCATAATAGACCTTAGATACCGTAGAGAGTGACGGATTTGGCGTTGGGCGGTTGGTCATGTCTCTGATACACACTGTTGGCAGACACTGGACATGCTCTGGCTCCTGAAAATATTGGAAACTGCTCCACTGTTGGTCAAGTTAGGCCTTGAATGAGCTCGTACTCGGTGCCGTCACAATGCTCTCTGGCAGATTGTTCCAAAAGCTCACAATTCTTACTCTGAAAAAATTTGCTTCTTCAACCTTGAGCTGTGACTTACGGCTCAAGGTTGAAGAAGATGCAAGTCCCGAAAACTGTGAAGGCAAATCTTTTCAGAGTGAGAATTGTGAACTCTTGGAAAAATCTGCCATAAATCATTGTGACGCCTGTGACCCCATTTGTCATCTTGCCATTTGGTCGAATGTTTAAGCAATATGCACTTGGTAAATTTTGACGAATAATAGGCATACATGGACTCCTGAATATACAGTATCTTAACTTAATCCAATGTTAGTCAAGCCTGTGCTTAAAGGGGCTCCTACATAGTGCTATCCTAACATTCTGTTGTAGTATATTCCAGTTGTTTGCAGATATTACCATAGAGAAGTTAGCTTTAGCAGTTTTTGTATGGATAGCCACTTATTTCCTCCTATCCTGGGTGGTGATATGTAGGGTTTTCACAGGTTCACAGTGGAAGGGCATAATGGCCATAAGCAGTCACACCACACATGGCGAGTCCCTCAGTGTGGTAATGGCCGACGCTCTGAACGCGTGGTACCTGTTTTGATGAGAGACGTGGTGGTACTGAGCGTAATGCCTGATGGGCTTTTATCACCACACACTAGTACAACTATTACTTCACTTTATAGCATCAGGCAAGGTTTTAAGATGTAAAAACTGCTAGATAAGTATTTTTAGGGCTGCATGGAGCACGATGGAGTTCACTGACCGGTTTTGATAAGAGACGTGGTGGTACTGAGGACGGCGCCTTGCGTCTCTTACTGACCTAGGCCTACAGTTTCCCGTTTTCTGAGACTCTACAAGCGTGGTGGATTTGAATGTTATGTAGCATAATGTGAATTAAAGAGGTATTAAGGATGACAATGATGTGGGCAGTACACTAATAGTGAATTGTCCCTCGCCCTTTACGGTATGAAGTATAGGTAATCTAATCTCGGAAAAAAAATACATTATCAGCAACAGTTCAGATGTCTTCATTACTGTTATTACCCTGCTTATTATCTAGCCCTGCTTCTTTATTTTTATTATGTTCAGGCAGTCTATAAACATTTACCAAGAAACTTTTCAGGCTCCCTATACTCTCACACACTATATATATATATATATATATATATATATATATATATATATATATATATATATATATATATATATATATATATATATATATATATATATATATATATATATATATATATATATATATATATATATATATATATATATATATATATATATACACACACATATATATATACATATATACATACCCCGCTTAACGCGGTTTCGCTTAGCGCGATGTCAAGTATACGCGGTGCCTCGCCAGAGCCGAACTTTCACTTAACGCGGGTTTTTTCCACGTATACGCGCAGAGTGTCTGGCTAGAGACGCTATTTTTAGATTCGCCCCACCCGCTGCTCCCGCCTGCCTCGCCTCTCCCTCCCTCCCTCCCTCCTCCCTCCGCCTGGGCAAGCCACTCGGTAAGGTTGCGCAGTGTGTGTGTCTTTGTTGCGTTATCACTGACGTCATATGACATATCGGACTGTGATTGGCCATGCATCCCTACCCCCCTCTGCTGCTAGCTGTAATTGGCTTAAAGTATTATGACATGTCCACCCAGGGGAGGGAGGGAGGGAGGGAGGGAGGAAAGACGATGCTTGACCTTAGCCGCGGCAGTTTCATCCCTCCAGGCCACCCCGTGTATACGTGAATCCATTGTTCTGTGAAATGGCTTCCGCCGAACCACCACCGCCACCAGAGAGAAACCTTTCCTTACCTGGACCCAGCCGCCCTAAGCCCAAAGAAGACACGCCGTGGCCTAGGCTACGAAGTGAAATACCAGATCATTCAAGATTTGGAGAAAGGAACACGGCAAGCTGATCTCGCATGCCAGCATGGCGTCGACGAATCTACGATTCGTACTATTAAGAAGGGTGCAGCCAAGATCAAAGAGCACATGAAAATCACAAATTCTGCAGGTGCTTCAATGATCAAGTATTGCCAGAATAGGGTGCTGGCAAAGGTGGAAAGTTTGCTGGTGAGTTATTTGATTCGTCAGGCGCGACGCAACATGGCGGTGGACACGCGCTCAGTGCAGGAGTACGCACGTGAACTATACGCAGCAGTGTCACGTAAGCTGGGAATTGCAGAGCCCAAACCCTTCACTGCTTCCTCTGGTTGGCTGCATAGGTTTAAGAAGAGGAACAAGATCACCAACATCAACATTGGTGGTGAGGAAGCGAGTGCTGGCCGTGTGGCGGCTAGAGATTTTCCTCCGTTCTTACGTGAGGTTATGGAGGAAGGACAGTACACTGACGACCAGGTGTTTAACATGGACGAATCTGGTCTTTTCTGGAAAAAGCTACCTTCCAAGACCTTCGTAGTAAAGAATGCCAGCAAGATTCGGGGCCGGAAGATGCAGAAGGAACGCATCACCGTCCTGTTTACCACCAATGCCTCCAGTACCTGTAAACCAAAGTTATCGGTGATTCACACAGCCCGCAAGCCGCACGCCTACAAGAATATGGACATGACCAAGCTTAATGTCCACTGGCTAACCGCACGTAAGGCGTGGATGTCCTCTTCTCTGTCCTGCTTCTGGTTTGACGACTGTTTTGTTCCCGACATGAAGAAATTCTGCGAACAACAGAATGTTCCATTCAACATTTTGTTGCTCCTTGACAACGCACCTGGACACTTGGCCCTACTTATGGATCGTCACCCCAACGTAAAAGTGGTCTTCCTTCCTCCCAACACTACATCATTAATCCAGCCCATGGACCAGGAGTTGATCTGCAATGTGAAAGCTGCGTACTCTGCAAAGAAGTTCAAGCTCCTGAACGACTCTACCAGCACCAAGGATGAGTTGCGTAAGCTGGATGACACCGACAGCGAGAGTAAAAGCGACGGGGACAAGGAACAAGATGTGGTGACTCAAGAAGTTCTCGTCAAACAATTTTGGAAGAAGTTTAACGTCAAACAAGCTGTAGACTTCTTGGTGGAGGCATGGGTTCAGCTGTCTATTGCTGTCTATTGGAGACATGTGTTACATGGCTTGCCAGCTGAGACGAGGAGTGAACCTGTGACTGGTGAGGTTCAGACTGTTGCAGTAGCAGTGGACCTTGCCAGAGAAGCTGCGCTCAATATTACAGCTGAAGGCTTCTCCAAGACCACCAACGAAGACATCCTGGAGGTGATTAGAGATCCTGAAGTGACTGCCGACGAGATGTTGGAAGAAGATCACGTCAGTGAAGAGGAGGAAGAAGGTGCGTCATTTTCCGAAGAACACAGTTTAAGTCATAGTGATATTAAGGGTGCCACGGAGTGTGCAGAGAAAATGAAGTCCTTCTTTTCCCGCGACAATGACGATGACCGCTATGAAGTCTTCCATACCTGGCTGGTGCAGGCTATGGAGCCGTACATCACGGTGTATCAAGACAACATTAACACTAGCCGTCAAAAAAGCATAACCGAGTTCTTCGCCTGCAACCCACCACAGCCAGCCCAAGCCAGTGATAGTGACAGAGGTAGAGACAGTGAAGATGACTTTGAGGGATTTGTCAGGGAGGCCATGACAAGTGTGGGTGACAGTGATGGTGACTCACCTGAGGGCCAGTAGCCTGCCCTCTGCCTCGGAACCAGCCTCCATCCCCGTACGCCGACCCATCTCTTCTACTAATGTAAGTATTCAACATAACTTTTAGTTTTCCTAACCTAACCTTTATTTTTCCTAACTTAACCTTTATTTTTCCTTACCTAACCTCTTCTATATTACTTGTTTTTTCATACCATCATAAAGTTAAGATAAAATTTTTACTGCAACATAGTTGTGTGTCGTCAAAAAGTGGAGTTTGGGGGTCGGGCCAGTTTCTATTGGAATTAATCCCATATGTTCTGTTGTTCACTTAGCTCGGTTTTCACTTAACACGGTACCCTGTGGGTTCTATTGACCACGTTAAGCGGGGTACTACTGTGTGTGTATATATATATATATATATATATATATATATATATATATATATATATATATATACAGTATAATTTTTCTTCTAAAGCTTTTTTTGTGTAAGTTGGGATTGGTACCAAATTTACTTTACCCATTCCAGGAACACTGCCTGAGTGGCTGAAGGGACAGCTCATCTACAATGGGCCTGGTCTCGCCAAGGTTGGCCAAAATGAATATCGTCATGCCTTTGATTCCTCGGCTTTACTCCAGAAGTGAGTGCTTCCACCACCTCCATATTACTGGGATTGGGGCGTCCTTGACTTGTACAGCAATGCAGTTTACTCCTATTGGGCGAGGTTCTAAACCCTATCACATTTTCTGTTGATGTATATAAACCCTGCCATGTTCCTGAATTCCATTATTGAAAATTGCTTTCTTTTACCATCCTACCTTTAATTAGGCAAGACTATCTTTTTCATGCATGGAACTACCCTTAGCAGGGACTAAGCATTTCCCTTTACTCTTGTGAACAGAAACAAACTCTTTCTCTTCCTATGTTTGGCATTTTTAAATACCAGGCAGACTGTGAAGAGCTGCAGAAAGATCTCTGTAAGCTTCAAGAATGGTCAAAAGAATGGCTGCTGAGATTCAATGTCATAAATTGTAAGATGATGCACCTGGGATGTACCAACGGTAAGGAGGCATATCTTATGTCCCGACAAGACGAAGAGGCCGCATTAATTGAGACTGAATGCGAAAAGGACCTGGGTGTGTATGTTGACAATGAACTGAAGTTCTCGGGGCCATTTTGAGAACCAAGCAACTAAATTATTAGGCAAGAAGGTCGATCAGATATCTAGATGGTCCGTCCCTGAAAATGATCTTTAAGAATGAGGTGCTTCACCACCTGGAGTATTGTCACCCCGTCTGGTCCCCGAGATATGCTAGGGACCGTCAGTTGATTGAAAATGTCCAAAGGAGGGCCACCAGACTGGTGCGGTTACTTTGGCACCTCAGCTACCCAGAGAGATTAGAGCGCCTGCAATTGCCTAGCTTATACTACAGATGTGCAAGGGGAGACCTAATCGAGGTTTATAAACAACTCGAGGGCACTACTCGGTCTAGTATTCTTACCTGGAGATGGCGGATGCTCACCCCACAAGAGGTCACCGCTCAAGGTTGAAGCCTCAAGTCCAGAAATCTGTAAGGGCGAACTTTTTCGGAGTGAGAGTTGTGAACTCTTGTAACAACCTGCCAGAGAGTGTTGTGCTGGCACCGAGTGTGAGCCCTTTCAAGACCAGACTTGACCAACACTGGAGCAGGTTCAGATACATTCAGGAGCCAAGTGGCTAACGAGCCGATCAGTGGCGAAGAAGGATAAAGGTAAAAAAAGTGATGTTAAATTGTTTTACTGCAGCCTGTATGGGGTGCAACACTACTTGACCACTAGAAGCTTATTGGCACCTCCTACCTAAAATCTTAATTTTCTAATCGAGCTTGGTTCAGGCAACTCTCTTCCCTTCTCTCCTCCCATTGGCTGGCTGAGTGTGCTGGAACTAATGGAATTGATCTTTGTTGTTTTGTGGCTGGCGTAAATAAATAGGATTAGAGAGCAAGTCTATTTATATGGCAATGAAGACCCAAAATTTTCTTTTTTGTGGGAATTACCATACCTAGTAGTTTTGCTCAAGGAATAAAGTATACTGTACTGTATAGTCGAGAAGGATTTTAAATTTTGTAATAAATTGCTGTATACTGGATAAAAATTTTATACCTTCTTTCACAAGTTTCAAGCCCTTGAAGTCTGGTTTTTAGCTCCTAGACTTGCTGACTGTGATTTTACCATTATCAGCTTAGTAGCCATTAGGGCAGTTGGACTATTCAGCGTTAATACAGGAGGAAACCAGAGACTTGGAAACCTGTGATGTTTGGCAGTCAATCGGATAACCCATCTCGCATGTGTCCAGGCCAAGCAGGACTCGAACCTCTGACATACTGCACAGTATTGCTGAGATACATGTGTTATTGCTGTACCACCAACATGAGTTGTCTGATTGCTGCTTGCTTAGTAATAAGGATTTTAGGGTGCCAGCAGAAAGTATAGGTGGCAAGTCCTCCTTTTTTTGGATATTTTGAAGCAATGTGTATAAGATTGTTTAATTACAGTACAATTGATTTGTACATATTATACATAAGCAGAGCAAAGTTATTGTACATTATGATGTTGAATTAGCATACTAGTACTGTACAGTACTTTATGCCTACAAATACAATAATACAAATTTACTGGATGCTGTACAACCTGTGGACCTGGGTGTCTTTTTGTAGTGGTCACAGCCAAGTTCTTAGTTACCATTTTAGAAAATACCCGGTCAGAAAAAATCGTGTGAATTATAGAAATGTCTTAAAAGTACTGTACAGAAAACACAACTAAATCAGTAATTCTGTAACTGTGTGTGGCAAGAAGCAGTGGTGTTAGTAGTTGTGAGATAATGTCTACTAAAATTTACTCAATGTTTATTTTACATTGCTACAGTGGATCAAACTAAACATTACCATACCTTAATGACTGAAGAATACCAAAGCAAACTGATATTAACTGTAAAAATTTTCTTCTTGCATGGTGTCAGATTCAAATTAATGATGAATGTTCAACTGTAAAGTTCTTACTATTGCTTTATGAATAGATTATAGTATTATCACTTTCTTTTCAGATTTGAGATTTCAGATGGAAAAGTCATGTACAGCAATCGTTTTGTGCGGTCAAAAACCTTCGAACAGAACCAAGCAGCTGGTGCCATCACAAGAGCCGAGTTTGGCACTCCTGCCCCAGCTTCAAAGGGCATGTTCTCAAGGTGCTTCTACCACTTTTTATGTATACAAATGTGGTTTAAGAAAACATAAACTCGTGTAAACAAAGTCTATCTTGGTTTGTTGAAGACATTTGCTGTGTTTCTGTAACTTGGAGAATGGGTATGTCATTGCACAAAAATATTAATACAAAGCCAATCCAGTAGTTATTCTCAGGAATAATTACCTGGTATGGCTCGTTGTCTAAGGCGAAACTAGTTTTTTAACAACTTTTTATGCATCCATCTTCATGTGGTGATATTGATTTGTGATAGACTATCTGCCTGTCTGTTGGGTCACAATATTTGCATGTTTTCCATATTGTTAGTCCCAAAGATGTGTGAACTAGTGTCACTAATCTACACGATAAATACTTGCTCATGACTGCCAGAAGAGTAGAAGAGAATAGAGTATGATTTGATTATTGATAGTTTTCCAGAATTAAGTACTGTACTGTATAATCATTAACAACCTGAAATTCATTTTGCAGCCATTTTTCATGTTTCCATGGGTTAGCCACAATTTCCTGATGGCAGTTCTCCATGTTGCATGTTCTCTTACTGCCTCTCTCATCAGATTCTTCACTCAAATGTTATTTCTTACACTCTTCCAATTCATTTTTGACATACCCCTGGTTCTCCTCCCCCTCAACATTAGGACTCCTGCATCTCTTGACCCAATTGGTCTTGTCCATTTGCTCCACCTACCCAAACTATCTCGGCCTACATTTATGCAAAATATGGCCAATACTCTCAATACGCAGTCACTCGCTGAGCTCTGAATAGGGTTTCTTACCTGTCAATGTCACATCATGCATCCACCTAATCTTCTCATGTCGGCTCTCTCAAGCCTGTGAACGTCATCATCTTTAACTGGCCTTGTTTCACTGCTATACAAGTTTACAATTTTCATGTCGGTTGCATACATCTTTCCTTTCATGTAAATGGAAGGTCCTCTTCCTGTCAATAAAGGTAGCAACTCCCTAAACTTTCTCCAACCACTTTTTAATCTTTCAACTGACCTCACTTCAGCATCCCTTGCAGCACTGAACAAGTTACCCAGGTAACAGAACTCATCGACACAGTCCAGGGATATACGTATCCCATGTTACGTTTCTCTAGGCTTAATAAGGACACCTGTTCTTACAGGACACTTAGTCAATAACATCTTGCAGTCAGCAATCGACTCCACTGCACATATCACGTAACCACTTTCCACACTCACTGCACATTGTTGAATTGCTGCCAACCTTTCTTGCAGACAGCACATGTCCATTATCCACTTTCTACCATGGTTCCCTCATCCATGCTGCTAATCCGTACTAACCTGTATTGTTTTTGCCACATTCATTTTCAAACCCTTCGACTGTTCCATCCTTCCATGAGTTAAGTGTCTCCACTGCTTTTTCAATACTATCTGCTACCAGCATGAAATCATCAGCCTCCAACAATTCTTAGGGCAGACAAGCCTGAAGTCCCTTGATGTGGTTTCTAGACCCATGATAAACAGATGGGGGCTTCAGACAGACACCTGATGAACGCCTACCTTTACCTCAAATTCCTCCCTTTCCTCATTATTTACTCTATCAGCGGATTTTGAGCCTACACTTAATGCCATAACCACTCAAACAAGACACTCCTTAACCCATAGCTCCCTCATTGCCCACTTTACTACTCCACATTTTACACTAAATTAGGTGTCTCCACTTTTTCCCTTGCTGCAAGCAACAAAAATAAGTCTCTGTACTGTATAGGGTATGTTATGTAGACATGGACCTTTTCATATTTTGATTCTTTGAATTCTTCTCAGGTTTTTAGATGCCATGGATCCTGAGAAGATGTTTTCTGACAATGCCTTAGTATCAGTCATTGGCATTGGTGGTCAGCACTTTGCCATGTGTGAAACCCCATTCATGATCCAAGTCAACCCAGACAATCTTGATACTAAAGAGAGAGTAAGTAAATTATAGTGTTAAAAAATCACCATTGCTAAGCATTTATGTGAAATTCATGTGAAATAGAAATGCTTATATTGTAGTTTTTGTGAAGTGATAAATTCAGTAGTTGTTAGGAACTTTATACTGTACAGTATGTTGAATATAATACTACAGTAAAATTATAGCAATATGCAGACTGTGTTGTAAACTCTTGAATGTAGTAATCCCTGGACTTAATGTAGTACTGTATACCAATTGGTTACACTTTTTATATGGCTAACATAGTTAATTAATTGCAGCACTTCACTGGAGTAACATAATTAACAGATACTTAATGTGTTGTGGCCTCCCCTCAGTGATGCCTCCGAGCAAAGGCAGAAACTGAATGAAAACAGCAAGGCATAAATGAATAGTTTATGAAATTTGCCATACAAGGGAGGCAGTTTCTTGTACATCATTAATTTCTACAGTACAGTATGTGAAAGTATAATACTGTAGTAGTATAATATATCTATATGAATATACAAGTACTGTATTTGGGTTTTTCTGTTGAAAATTCAATGCAATTGTTCAGCACATTGATGATATGGGTGACTTTAGGACCTCTTGATCATCTCTTCCTCTTTTTTTTTTTATTCCATGAAGCAAACTACCCCAGCCTTGCCTCTTTCCATATTACTTTTTTACATGTCTTTCTTACTCTTGTTCTAATAACTGCATTTTTCAACTTGTCACTGAGTGATACTCACAGTATCCAAGGCAACATCATCTCTTTCTTCCAACAATTCTTCCTCCTCTTTCCTCAGCCCTATGTCTCTCCTCTGTACACCCATTTCAATTTCCTGAGCATTCTTCTGTCATACACATCTTCAGTCTCCTTCCATTTTGTGCATCCCACTCAACCTATCCATAACTTTTGTTTCACCTACAGTCCCAAGTATAGCATTTAAATTATTCTGCCTGCGTCAACTCTATATTTCGCCTGTCTACAATTCTAATCCCTTCCCCCTCCCATTTCACTACTTGCCATAACCTCTATCTCCCCATTTCTTAATTTGCACCCTTGGCTCTCAAAACTTACCTCTGCAACTCACTTCTCTGCAACTTCACTTTTTCTCTTATTTTAAGATCACCCTCTACAAGAACTCCCACAAATGCCAATCTCTTACTCAATATTTACTAAGGTACCCCTCCTATTTTTCCCAGATGTTCAGTTCAGTCGAGAATGATTTGCTATTGAATGAAACCCTGAGGTACTAAAACTCAGTCTCTGTTATTGATGTTACTCTAACCTTTATGCTGCTTGAAATTAGTTTATTTTTGTGGATTGTAAATCATTGTAAATACCCTGTATATGAATATAGTGTTATATAAAATGAGTCTAACATTGATGTTTCTGCAGATAAATGTCAACAAGAGATATGGGTTGATGACGCAGAGTCCCCACCCTATTTTAGCAAGTGATGGAGTCTACACCGTGGGTCAGGGTGTTGGGGTGACAGGACCCAAATATAGCATTCTCAGATTCCCTCTTGATGGTATGTAGTATAACATCGCGTAATTTGATACAGGTATTAGTATTTTTTAGATTTTGAATGGATTATACTTATTGCAAAATAAATATCCGTCATTTAGCAATGAGGATGTGTTCCTGAAAGAGATTGCTAAGTGAAATGATTGCGAAGCAAACGGAAAAGTGAAATAGTTTCCTAAACGGGATAACGAGGAATAATATCCGTGGAGATGCTACATAGTTGTGTAGCCGAGTCACCGACTGGTCGACTTGCAACCCTTTACCACTCGAGTGGATGAGGCCGAGCTGTGAGGTATGTTACTGTTCAACTTGTAATTTGGGGTAGATACCTATACAGTATACATAATTTTCTTCAGTTTCTTTTAGTCTTTTACATGCACAAACAATCTTTCATCCAGAAAGTGCAAACAAAATAAAAATAATTACCATAAGATCAAAAACATAGGGATTAAACAGTTCTTACATGGTCGGCAGGTAGAAGACAGAACGGGGGAGCGAGGAGCAGCGTAGGGATCTTAAGGCTTTTGTCTCGTTTTCTATGAAAGGATTGCCAAATGGCTAAGTACAGTTCTATTTTTTCTTTTATTTATAATTATTATTTTTTTATTCATCACATTTACTGGTACAGTACTGTACATATGCGACACAGTTCATCAGGTCGGTCGCCAAGCGGCCTAGAGAGACGTGTATGGTTGCTGCCTGTATGCCATGACGTCACATATGGGGGAGGGATAGTGCGGCTGGCCAGTCACTGCCTCAATGCAGACTTTCACTTCCCACACATACACACCCATGCTCTTCATTTTATAGTTCTATAGGATACAGTACTGTATACTATAAAACTATACAATACTGTACTGTATACAGTACAGTATTTTCTGGATGTATAAGCCACATTACAGTATTGTAATGATGCACGCTTTGAGCACCGAATCTCCAGTTTTTCTTACTTCCCTCCCGAATATTTCCCAGTGACTCGGAAGATCGGTAAACCAAAAATAGCAAATCGTTCAAACAACAGTGTTAAAAATTTTAAATTGCAAAACTGAAATATCGCGCAGTAAGCGATTGCTAAACCATGGATACCTATAAAGATATTCCATTGTGTAGCCCTGGTAGTTCATGAAATACTGTACGTCCCGTGATTGTGAATTTTCATTTGCATTTTTAAGAATCGAATATAACAAATCCTGTATGGTAGTCTACTGTGGGAGGTATTCCTGTGTTATGTTTATTTTACCAACTATACTGTACTTTTATCATCTTCCCCACATTGGTTGAAGTGTAGCTGACTATGAGGTTCGGTTTAACTCGGTTAATATAAAGATGACCTCATAATTAGTGTAGCTGATATGAATACACAGCCCCATTTTTCATGTTTGTCATCAGAATCACGAACAAGTGCACTCTTGTTATCCATTTATTCTTCAAATGTAGTTTACTCTGGCTATTGCTTCACACACTTTAACATCACTCATTTACGTCCCATCTTTCCCTAAAAATTGTTTGATGCGACGCGCTCTGGTCATTCATGTACAAGGTGCATCTCTAATGTCCATTTACTGACCTCTAGCATTCATTTTCTGGCTTTTCAGTCTTGCCAAGATAACACTATTTTCTTTTGACAGGCAACCTGAAGCAGGGGAAGATTGTGGCAACTGTACCAGCACGTTGGCGACTCTCTCCAGCATACATGCACTCTATGGCTATGACTGAAAATTATGCTATTCTTATTGAACAACCATTAGCAGTGTCTCTCTCAGAATTGTTGAGTGATATTGTAAGCAATGCACCGTTCATTGATGGCCTCAAGTGGCACAATGATCCAGTAAGTGTTTGCAACATGTTTTGTATTTTTACTGCACTCCATATACTGTACAGGTATTCCTTGGCAAGGTTGCATTCCTAAAAAAAAAAAATAAAATAAAGTGAAATTATTGTTAAACGAGGGGTAACAGCAAAGTACGGAGGGTAAACAACAGTGAGTACAGTAGTACTGTATTATACTCCATAATAATATTAATAATGAGTGTTATAAGTGATTTCAAAATTAAACGACTGATGTATAACACCAAACTTATATACTGTATATAAACATTGTCGTTCGGAGTTAAATGATTTAGGAAGCAAAATGTGAACGTCTTGCTTGAGTCTACATGTAACAAGCACCCGTTGGAAAATTTTTAAGCTAATTCCACCTAATTTTGTAGGATTCCTACAAGTACGTATGCATGAAGCCAGTACTAATTACATATATATATAGTATATATTTTTTTTACATTCTACTGTACAGTACTTCATTTCCAGGTGCTCATTCACATTATTGATAGAAAAACCTGGAAGCAAGTGAAAACAAGATACATCACAGACCCATTCTTCTTCATGCACGTAGCCAATGCTTATGAAGAAGGGGAACACATCGTAATTGACATGCCAACCTACAAGAATTCTTCAATGTTGCACAACATGTTCATTAAAACCCTTAGAGTAAGTTTTGATAATTCTTTGACTTAAACAATTTACTGGTTCGTTAGATGCATGAATTAGATTTTATTCTTATAAAATAATGGTTAGTCGGTGCAGAATGAGCTGTTTGATTGATGTACAGATGAATGATAGATGAAAGTTGTTTATTTGTCTTTTAATTTAGATTCTGAAATATAAGAAAAAGGAGAAATATTTGGACCATTCACAATCCTATATTTGCTTTTATGGATCACCGTAAGATTAACCCCAAAGTGCTCACCTGAAGTTTCATTCCACAGCTGCAGTTATTAGTTATATCACCACAAGACAATCTGGTGTGGTGTGGTGGGGGTGGGGGGGTAATATTAAGGTGATCCATAAAGGCTAAAATAATTTTGGTCTCATTCATGGTCTCAAGGGTCAGTCTTGAGCACATCACTGGCCTGGATATAGAGACTGGAATGAATTAAATTAAAAACTGGGTCCCCAGAGAGATAAAACCATACAGGATTGGCAAAACACAGCCAGAGAATGTTAGTGGAGGGCTGTGGTTACCAACCCTCAGGTATGAGGATGGTACTCTGATTGACCAACAAATCTTGGACCCATAGGACATGAGGACTGGTAGACAATGTCCTAGATCTAATTCCCCAACTTTAAAGTGTCATATTTAGAGCACAAATGCAAAACTTTTTTATGATAGGCAACAGAGACCAATTACATTCATATGAGTATAGTAGATGAAAAAATAAAATTAATGTATCTCTAGTATTTACCAGTATTCTCAAAGTAGGGTTGAAGTTTAATAAAAAAGTACAGTAATTAGAAAGTGTTGATTTATATTGTGCTGCATATGAATAATAGTGCAAAACTACAAGATAATTGCACATGAGGCACCATTAATTACAAAAATATATGGAATTTTACATTACTATTTGTAGGAACAGCTTGTAGAATTTTATTATATTTGTCAAAGATTTTCAAATGGAAGGAAATGGCTTGTTATGAACTGTCGGTGTTTTTATATTCGTAAAATTTTTGCAATGAAATGTAATGATTGATTGGGTTTGCAGGAACAGCGAGGGAGGAACACACAAGAGTATGTAGATTCCTTCAGGTCAACAATGCACCGATTTGTTATTCCTCTTAATACTAAAGGCAAGGAGAAGTTGATCACCCTCCCAGGAACTTCTTGCACAGCTTCTTGGTCTGCACAGGAGGCAAGTTACTCTCATGGTAATGTTTATCTCTATCGGTCTTTTGAGTTTTCATTTTCTTTCTTTAACTTCACCTTTACTTTAAATATTTGATGACTCGCTTCTCACTATCTTGGCTTTTTGGTGTAAAGTTTGTTCCCAGTTGTAGTAAACTAGCTTAATTAGCTTTCAGTTTCCTTTGGGTATATAGGTGTAACTAATTTGTAACTTATTGAAATTGTAAATTTGATAATCTTAGGTTAGATTAGCTAAGCATTCAAATTGAATGATTCACGCCCATATTATTAAACATCTTCTTCCCTTGAAGAGGGTCGTCGTGTTTCAACCCGAGTTTTAAACTAAACGAGTCCTGAGGGATACCACAGTACTGTACTTAACGGGGTGGTGTGCTGTACTGTACTGCTGTGTCCCTCAGGACTCATTTAGTTTAAAATTCGGGTTGAAACACGACGACCCTCTTCAAGGGAAGATGTTGTTTAATAATGCGGGCGTAAAACTTTTGCCTAGCCTCCAACAATATTATGCACTGCTCTGTCTACCTCGGGAGTCAATAGCATAAGCACAGGCGACATATGAAGGCAAATGCGTAATTTTATACATTTTATATGAGGCATTGCAAGTAGCAAGAGTGAGCTGACCAAATGTGGGAAAATCTGTTTTCTGTGGTTCCTGGTAGCTCAAACCATGTTCTTTCATGTGCTACCCAGGAACACAGGATTATTACCATTTTCCCCCTTCAAATTAAGTTGAAAGACATTAAGGATCTGAAGACCACATACAAGCACTTTTATGCGGACCTGGTGACTGAACGGGAAGCACAGGGTGCTGCAGGAGTCCTCGACAATGAGGCTGCACCAGACGACGATGATGTTGTTGCGTTATTAATCCCCCTCCCCCCACTCTTCAGGCAAGCAGAAGGTCATGACAGGTTATGATGAGTGTGAATCCTTTCATTATTACCTATTCTGACTATGTTTTTGATGTTATCTTGATTAAAAGTTTCAGCAAATTGTAAATCTATATCATAAAACGTTTTATTACTTTTTATTACTACTGTACAGGTAGTTTTTACCATTAGCACTCGGACATATGGGATGTTAAACATTTTTCGGACATATTCATGATGTATTACTCCAAACTAAGATAAGACACAAAATTTTTTAAAAATTTGCATGGGATATGAAACAAAATAGGAAAAAAAAATCTAATGCTTAAAACATTATTTTTGTCAGCTTGCTCTTGCTACTCATACCACCTCATATGTTATACTGTACATACTTGAAAATGAAGGTTGTTCATAACTGTTGTAGGTTGTAAAGTACATGTTGTAGAGGTATACAAGTGTAGCATAAGTTATTATTCTCCAAGAAATGTACGGAATCTCAGTTGACGTCATGGTGAAACGCATGGCTTACTTTCCCCTTCCTGCGTGCATAAAAACCTACCAATGATCACATATGGTACTACATTAAATCATCATAAATGTTGTGCATTCATTAAGATTTAGCACAGGACACAAATATTATCAAAGGGAAGACTAGGTTGAGCTAGTGAACAAACCCCTCCACCCTCCTACTGTAGACACCCATATTTATTTATGCCAGTTTTGATTATGGTTGTCCTTTTAGGAATGTAACTTGTACTGATCTGGTGTAGTGCAGATACACTTTAGGGCACATAAATTGTACTCTCACTGTTTCTTTACTAATATGACTCGCCCTTCCCCTCATATGATATAATTCAAGATAAAGTAAAAAATAAATAAATACTATACAGATATCTCCATAATAATGACTAAGCTCATGATGGATCAATATTTCTTTACAGATTGTACTTCAGAGTGAGAAGCTAACTCACATCCCAATTGAGAACCCATGTATTAACCCAACGAAGAGAGCTACAAAACATCAGTATCTTTGGGGTATGGGACCAAATCCTGATGGAGGAGATTCAGGCCTCGTAAGTAGTTCGTGCATAATTTTTTTTTTCCATATAAAATTTAAGTTCATAAATTATGGTTTCAGGCACTGCATTTTAAGACCATTCTTATTTATGATAATTTCCTAGGTCACAGAATCAAACCTGTTGTTTATATAAGCTGTATTTTTGTATAATTCTTAAAATGGTGTATCTCCTTTTGCTCATATATACAGTACTATAGTATAAACAGGATAACTGTCCATGTTCTTGGCTCCCTGAGTTAGTTTCGTTGCTGGCATCAGCATGGTCTTTGCAAGTTTTCAATCAATTGATTCTTTACCATATCTTGTCAACCTAGGAGCATTATTATACTATACAGTACACCAATTGTGGAATGAAGAGTCGAAGTTGAGGTGCATGTATTAAGTCAGCAAGTTCATTACCAATATCCCCTTCCCCCCAATGATCCAAAACTTTACTGCTTTAATATACTGAATTGGTCTTTTTTTGTTTTCATGACAGGTGCTGAAACTGGATACTTTTTCTGGAGAAAACAAAATATTTACTGAAGACAAATTATATTGTGGTGCACCAGAGTTTGTCGCAAAACCAGATGCTGCTGTAAGTATTATTTAAACGAACTAAATGTACATGGTCTTTCTTGCTTGCTTAGTTATCTTCTTCCTCAGTTATATTCCTACAAACTAGTTGGGTGGTTGGTCTGTTCTGTTACACATTGTTGGCAAGTACTTGCCTTGTATGAGCTCTTGAATGTACAGTAAGTGTACCTGAACCTGTGTTAGCGTTGATCAAGTCTGGTCTTAAATAAGCTCGCACTAGGTGCCATAACTTTCTCTTGAAGATTATTCCAGGAGTTTTCAACTGTTATTCTTAAGAATCTAAATTTTACAGTGTTCTGTACCGATAGATTCATTAATTTGAGGCTGTGATCTCTGCTAGCCCTGAATATATACATTTGACAGAGAACAGTGATGTCTCCGTTAGCTGGAACAATTGGTGCAGAGCACTTCCGGAATGAGAGATTTCCGGGTAACGAGACGACTCTCTCAAAGCCAGAAAAAAATCCCTCATCCCCGTAATTTTTGGGGGAACGGATAAATGTTCTTGGAAGTTCCAAAAATTGCCCATTACATCATATCTCGAACCCAGAAAAATATCCTTCATCACCGAAATTTTCTGGGTAACGAAAATTTTTCTCTGAATTTCCAGAAAATGTGCCGGATTTTCATCTCTCGAACCCGGAAAAAACCCATCCCCGGAATTTTACTGGTAGCGGGAAATTTTGTCGTATTTTTCCAGGAAAATGTGCGCCTTGGAAAATCTTTCCCAAAGCCGGAATTTTCCGGAAAATTACGGCTTTGGGAACGATTTTCCGAGAAAATTTAAATTCCGGCTATCGGAGAGTTCTGGGTTTGAGGGATTCCGGCTAATGGAGATATTACTGTAGTGCCCTTTAAGGTTTGGAAATACAGTAGAGTGCGGTAGTAGATGAGTGGAAAAAGTTACTGATCATCATTAACTCAAACGTGCTTGGAATCTTCAAATATTTGTTGGACAAATATGAGTGATAGGGGTTGGGTCCCAAAATGGGGCTATCTAGTACAGTATAGTCTGCATTTACACGGTCAATTGAACCCGTGGAGGTCCGTGTAAAACAAGAAACGCGTAAACGAAATACAGTAACAGAACATATGGGATTAATTGAAATAGAAACTGGGCCGGCTCCCAAACTCCACTTTTTCCGACACAATACGTACGTTGTAGTAAAAATGACATCTTAATTTTATGATGGTATGCACGTACAATTAATATTTAAGAGAAATATCAATAATATTAGGTTTTTTAACACTTACGTAAGTATAAAAGATGGCTGGGAACACGGGGATGGGGGGTTGGTTCCGAGGCACAGGGCAGATTATTGTCCCTCACCTGTATCACTTGTATCACCATCCACCACAGAGGCTTGCAGGGCCTCTTTGTCAAACCCCTCTAAGTCCATATCCTCACTATCACTGACTTGGGCTGGCTGTGGTGGGTGGCGGGTGAAGAACTTGGTAATGTTTTGATGACTGGGCGACCGTGTGCTCACCCATTCCCCAAATATGTAACTGCATATTTTCAGCCTTCTGGCTGCCAAGCTCTTTCAATAAACCGTTAATTATTATTATTAAATTTACCGCGTAATTAAAACATTTCATTCTGGCAAGGCACCGCGTAAATGACCAAACGTATAAACAAAAACCGCGTAAATCCAGACTATACTGTATGGGCCAATAGGCCTGCTGCAGTTTCTTCTTTTTTTCTTTTATTTATATTTGTATCATTTTTGCCATTAATCAGCCTACCAGCTGTTTGTGCGCTCTATCCCTTGTTAGTACAGGAGGAAACTGGGGACTGGGAAACCTGTGGTGTTTAGTAGTCACTCTGGGTAAAACCCTTCTCTCACGTGTCCGGGCCGAAGCTCGAACTCTCGACATATTGGTGAGAATTACGCGCATTACTGCTTTACCACCAACATACGCACCCAGAACCTTTTCAAAATTTTGGTCTCGGTTATTGAGGTTTCTTCATCACATGGGGACATGTTATATGCCTCCTTTCTATTGGTATTCACAAGGTGAATCTTTTCCCATTTCTTGAGGTTGAATCTTAAGTCATATACCGTACCTTTGTCCACTCCTGAAGCTGACAGATCATACTGTAATGTTTCACAGTCCGTTTTTCTTCTTTCCAAATGAGGTTAGTCTGTGTCTAATTATGATCATATTTCTTCTTTTAAGAACGAAGATGATGGAATTCTCTTGCTGCAGTGTATTGATTCACAACATGAGAAGAAAACTTATCTTCTGGTTTTAGATGCTGCAAATATGACTGAAATATGTCGGGCATCCGTGAACACTCCATCAGCTGTTCCAATGCCTCTGCATGGTCATTACATTCCTGCCTCTGAAGAGTAAGCAACCTGTGATATACAGTACAATAAATGTCATCAAAAGCTACTGCTGGCCAAAGTGCTAAACATAGATTTTCATATTGATAACCGGTTCATTTATATCCCTCTTGCTAAATTTAACTGCTTTTGCAAGGATTATAATTTTAACATTAACCAAATGTACTCCCTTGGTTTGAACTATTTAATATTTTTGTTTGCCTTTTAGTCTGCCCTTTATTGCAGTCACTTAATACCAGGTTTTTCCTAACTTAAGATCACTGCCACCAGACCACAAGACAGTATGTGTAGTGTTCTTTGGGTAGCTGGCAAGCAGTCTAGGCACTGTGAGTTCATGTTTCTCATTAATCAAGTTGAGAATGGAAGGAAGGGTGAAACACCAACCAGTATCTTAACTAATTTATTTTAGACATGTTAAAAGTATTGCATTGTCACAATACAAAAATAGTTGAACCACACAAAAATACTTGACCTTCTTCCCAATACTTAGGGTCTTTTCTCTATACTAAATTATTGACCTCCTTAACTAGCACTCCTCCAATATCACCAAAATACTCGATATCACCTTAATAAGGAGCACTTGATAATACACACAATACTTACTGTAGCTCATTCTTAGCACCAAGGTACACACAGCCAGTACTCGTCTCACGCTCTACTCTTGTTAGTTAGACGAGATCCTTCCCGGACATTCATACCAGGACTAGTTCTGCGTCCGATATCATTAGGTCACTTAAAGTAGCGACCGTAAGCACATAAAGTAGCAACAACGTCTCTTCACATCCAGGGTGCCGTAAGTGTGAGATATCCAGAAATCCTTATTGGAGGTTGCATAGTGGTCCCAGGCATTACCCACAACACTAGGTGGGCTCCTCAAAGTAGAACAGTGGTTGCTGGGCCAAGCATTCCCTTCGACCTCGCTTGCCTGCATACATGGTCGACACAGCTCACCCTCTCCCATACAGGCCCATACACCTGCTCGTTTAAGATGCGGGGAGTTACTGAGGGTAAGCCTCTGCCTCTCCCACATGACTAGGCCTATGGGTGCCAATGTTTACAAATCACCATGTCTTTTTTCTGGCCCCCACATTTACACTTTCTTAGATATTGTGACTTTATGCCTTATAGTGTATATCTTTTTCTCGAAACTGAAGCCACGGGCGATTTGGGCGTCAGAACGAACAAAACCTTGGTTTTTTCGCTTGGGTATATCCACCTCACTTTATTCAGAATGTGTGGTTCCTCCCCCACACTTTGCAGTTGTCTTAACACTTTCATAAGATTCTCCAATCATTGCATTGTTCGTAGCTATTCGTCACATGGGGTAACGAGGTGTATTGGGCTCACCCTGTGGTACACAAGATATTTTCCTTGGAGTACATTTATCCTTTTTCCAGATCATTGTTCTCTCATATTTTCCTCTTGATACCTGAGGTAGCTATGTTTACTAATCGTACACAGACATAAATACCATAACCTTCAGACACGGTCGCTCTTCTTCACAATACAGTAGTTACACTAGTCCGTACCAATTGGGCCTTCCCAATCATCATATAGGTACCTTGAGTTCTCCCTTTATATTATCAGTATGCATATGCAAGTTTATGTGCACAGACCCTGGTATAATTTGTAAAAAACTACAGCTTACGAATTGCCCCTTCCAAATGTTAACCGTTTTGTGACATTACCCACTAGAAAACATTGATATTCCAATAGCACAGTGAGTTTGAATATTATGCAGTTGTAATATGAATCAGAAGAGGTTATAGAGCAGTACTAAAGTATGCAGTTCATTAATACTGTATTAAATGTAATGGAAAGAGATTAGCTTGGAAATTGTTGAATGTTCAAACTCAAAACATATTGTGTTGTAGGAGAAGTGGTCAGATTCTCCATTCAATATTTAATATTAAAGACTAGTTTTTGTTGAGGTTCATTGTTTAATATGTTTGTAAGAGACATAAAAGAGAATTACCTGTATATTACTATACTATACTGTACTGTACAATACAATACTTTTAAAAATAATCTTAAGACTGTATAATTTTATCAATGATTCTGGAATCATGAATGAGGACATTAGCAAGCTTTTCAAAGATAGTTTTAGATAATTATTTTGCCTACATAATTGTTTTCACATTGCTAGTGACCCACAGAAGAAAGCAAAGCTTCAGGATGTATGATGATGCATGTTCCTCTCTGTAGTAACCATCTTTGCTATTACACAATCATGAAATTACATTAGAACCTGGCAATTAATCCATACCAATAGTAACAATGTAATATCTCTTGTTTGGAATTGTTCTAATCTACCAGTTGTGAACATCTTGTTGTGAGTGTGTTGGTGCTTATGTGTATGGTACACAAGTGTGCATGTGTACATACATACATACATGTGTGTGTGTGCGCGCATGTTTATGTGCATGCGTGACTCTCACTTCCGTGTGTAGTACATATATGCACAGGTATGAGCACATGCACAAAAAATTGAGCATATAGATAGTCTTCCATGAATTTCTATGTACTTACTTACAAGCACAAACATATGTATAAATATACAGGTAGTACATCATCATAACTCGCCTCTTTGTCCTGCCCTTCTGCATTCCTTCCTTTTACCTATGGCTGTACTTGGTTCATCAACTCCTATTTCCTCTCTTGCACTTTTCCTTTCCTTATAACCAGGGATGAAAATGGGGGTACACATAGGTATATGCCACATGCCTAGTTTCTGAGCCATATTTTTTTTTTACTTACATACAGTATTTTCAATGCTACTTAGAATGTGTATTGAATCGCAGAAGTTTTAAGATTGGTAATATATTTACAGTAAAATTATATGTATGACAAAACCTTCAAATATTTTGCTTGGTTGGTGGACCCTTTCGTATTTTTTCCATCTCTCAAGCATGTGCCCAGTTTCTGAAAACCATTTACATCACTGTTCATACTTTAGTTACATTTGAATAGAAGGCTTACACATTACCGACTTAATTACCGATATATTTAATTATTTGCCACATACTTTTTATGGTGGGTTTAGTATGGGAGCAGTCAAAGTTATTACCGTACAAGGTATATTATTATGCTGAACATTATGGAATTAGCTGTACTGTAACTTCATTATTAAAGCTGTAATTGGCAAAGTTGTTTTTACATGGGTACTGTACTTATGCCACTTCATTCATCTTAAAGCTTTGTTCTATTTTAAGCAACTCACTCCTGGGAATATTTTAACATGCATTAGAACCACTTTTCCATGGTGCCTTTATCCATGCATTGTTTTCACTCGTGCTCTCCCCTCACAATATCCTTTATAAATTTGACCTGTTAGAATGTTCACCTGTACAGTATCTGGAGTGTATGAGAGACTCGGTGGTAATAAAGAATATTTTGTTAAAAATCCTTGTTCTTATTAGATAACATTGTATTCAATTACTTATTACTACAGGTTGACAATCCCTTATCCGAAATCCTTGGGGCAGAATAATTATTATTACTATTACATTTTGGCCCCCTAGGCCCCGATGTGGGTCAGTGATCTATGCCCGGGTGGGCTGATCCCTGTTAAGAAAAAAAAAATAAAATAAAATAAAAAATCGGTTTTCAGAGCGTTTCGGTTTTCGGAATTTCGGATAAAGGGTTGTCAACCTGTAATGCATTTTCTAGTTTTTTACTCTACTATGCTGTAAGGAATGTTTACAACAAGACATTATTACTATTACAGTACAGGCATTATATTCTGATAGATACAGTTTGTTATTGGCTACATAGAAAGCAGTCACTTAAGTGAAGTAGAAGTACAGTGGAATACAGCATTATGAATATTATTACTTAAATGAAACATATTATGACCATTTTCTTATTTCCTTATTGTCTTAAATGTCTATTTCTTAAATAGCCAACTGTGTTCATTGAGACACAGTAAGCAGTTTCTTTGCTGGCAGGAAAGTTACCTCTAGGTAGTTTATACTTTACCACTTTAATAATTTTCATATCCCCACGAATTTGTGGGTGTATGCTGATATCGCAGTGTCAGTTGTATTTAATCATGTGTTTTAAGCTTTTGATTCTATATTTTTACTTTTACTTGATGTTTTCATTGTTGAACATTTTTAATTACTGTATTGTATAACAAAATACAAAGAAGTTCACTTAGCTAGTTTTATGGTTCCTTGATATCCAAATTGTTTCTAACCAGATGTAGGCACCTCATTCTCGTGTAGGCAGAGCTTTTGATGTTAACTCTGATGTTACACAAGTTACCATACACAGAAAGGCAGAGGAGGTGATGATATGTAAAGCATAGCTGTATAAATCTGAACACCAGTCTCTTAAGGTGCTATATTATAGGGCAGTCATATACAGTTCTACTTGCATAGTTGTTTGGTCATGGAAGTTAATGTACATGGGTATAGGCAATTCCATTTTGGACACATTTGCCACTTTTCTTAGTCCATAGTCCACCAAAGACTAAAGTTTCCAGTTTTTTATTTTAGTTTTCCCTGTTTTTATTTATATATTTTCCTTTTAATTTGTACTCGAGTCAGCCTTCATGCTTTTCATTTGTATTATCTGTTAATGCAAAGAAATTGCAAACCTGCTTCGTTGATATGATTGCCAGTGTATTAAGAACTCGCCACTACTTGTTTTGAATCTTTTTGGTTTGACCTTTGTTACTGAGAGGCTTGGAAAAAATTATTAACCATACCATGTTCATATAAAGTATATATATGATACGACCAAAAGTCGATTGAATGTTTATTACCGAAATTTGTGGAGAAAGTTTATACAGAAATTTATAAGTGTCTAGATACTGTATAACCAGTCTGGTCTCTAGACTTTCTGGATGTTTAGGTGTACAGTAGCTCAAAGGACTACTGTATCCTGTATAAATAAAATGTCTAGTTATTATATACTCAAAATACTCAATCTCTATGAACAAAATGTTCAGATAAGGTTTTTTAACAAAATTTCTCAGGTAATGTTGAAAACTTATTCTATAAGCAATAGTTCGCTGTAATTATATAATTGTATAAATACAGTAATAAAAAAAATTAAGTATACAGTATATATAATTTACAAATGTCCTTAAATCGACTAAACAAAAATTGTACAAAGGCAAATTTTGTTATATGGTGAGAAGCTTTATTTTTATGAGGAATATACAGTATTTCTAAGTAAATACAGGTAATAGATAACATTTCGGTGATTACCAATGTTATTAAAATAAAGTCTATGAATGTGATACATTCCATTTACCTATCTTAGATATGTATTGAAGAAAGACTTAAAGGATATTTAGGCTATATACAGTACTGTACAATATACAGTATATCCTCGGGACTATAAGTGTGTCATAAGATTTTGTATCCTTTAACTGGTTCTAAATGAGAATTAAGCTGAAGCTGTATTATATAGAAATAAACAATTATTGAAGAAAAATGAGCTTATAAACCGAAGTTAAATAATATTTATGTAATACTAGGTGATGTGCAAAGATAACTTCTTCCAGGTTGTATTGTATTTAAACTTTGTATTGCTGGATCATTAGGACTTTCATATCAGAGAGGGTTGTGTATTGTACTGTAATGTCAACATTATGACAGTTGATCTTACAAGCTTGTACTGCACTTTGATATTTGTATCTGTGGTTATATATTTTTGGTTTATTGTCTTTCAGTAAGTTTACCTTATAATTGTTATATATTTCAGGAAATAAATACCATGCAGTATCTTGCTTCTTTATCAGTTCTTTATTATATGTAAGAAGATAAGAAGATTCAAGCTTGAGCTGAATGTTGAAGACTGTGCAAAATATGTAGTTGGAATACAGTCTTACATTGTTTTATGGGCTTCCTACTATATAATGAATTTATACGAACAAGCTTTTTGCACAAATAAAATGAAATGCAAATAATTTCTCTAATTTGATTCCTAAACTTACATTTATATACTGCAGTCATGTAAGAACCATATGGTATTGAGAATATTTATTTGTGTTCAAGAACTGGGCCATCTATTATTGCATGTATCAAGAGCCTGCTTATTTCATGTTAAACACCTTGTTCAGTTGAAGTTTTTGTTAGGGTAAGAGTGGTAGGTATCGTCACCGGGGCCCATATGCTGCTATTGCTGAAGTAAATTATGTAATGGGATCACTAACCAACATTTCCAATATAATTATTTGCCCTTGATAGTGTAAATACCGAGCGCATCACTTGGATCAATTCAATTTCAATTGTTTATTCCTTGATAGAGGAAGCGGGATCCTAGTGCTGTCACTAGGTACCCCTGTACAATAACACCAGAAGCATCTGGCAAGTGTCAAGTATATACAGTATAAATATTGTAAAGGGGCTTACTAAAGCCTAAGGAAGGAAGGATATTCCTTTAACACATAAACAATGTTATTTACATAATATCTGGCCAGTATGGGGAGGATCATCGTGTCTCCGTCAGGGGATCGTGGGGTGGTGGTCCAGCAGGCGTCACGGAAGCGTTGTGTGTGGGGACATCTTGGGAGGTAGTGGATAAGGGTGCGGCTGTTGGGTCTTCTGCATAATGCACAAGAGCGTTGCTCAGGGGATGCGGGGATACCAATCTCCCCAAGCAAAGTCAAACCCAATGATGATACGGGCAGCAATCACGTCCCTTTACCGGGACCCTTTCCCATAGACATACGAGAGGTCAGGAAGTTTACGGAGGACATCGTACCAGGTAGGCGGGGAGTCCAGGGGGATGGCTGCTTCCCGAGCGTCTCTCTGTTTGCGGCGAATTTGGATCCTAAGCTGTTAAAGTGTTCGAGGAACAACGTAGTCAGGTGTGGCCTTGTTGCAGCCAGTCTTGGCAAGGCCATCTGCTGCCTCATTCCCCAAGATACCGACATGACTGGGTATCCATAGGAATGTCACAGGATGGCCTGGATCCTGAAGTGTGGATGTTAAGCCTCGTATTCGGAGGATGAGGTCCTTATTTTCCTCTGATCCAAATGCGATCCCATCGAGAGCAGACCTGGAATCGCAGCAGACAAGCAAGGGGCCGAAACCATCTGCTTCTTCTTCAGCGAGAAGGGCAGCAAGGAGGGCTATTAGTTTCCCCAGAGTGGAGGATGCCCCATCAGAAACTCTGAGAGACAGTTTGATAGGCTCAGGGGCATCAGGACGGGAGATGTAGACACCAGCCCCGGCCCGACCTGTAGCAGGGTCAACAGAACCATCAGTGTAGAGGACGACCCTACCTGGAAACCAGTGGGCGATCCTGGAGAGGTGGTATTTGCAGAGAATAACAGGGTTCACGTGGGATTTCGGGAGCAGTCCACCGAGGGCAATCACTTCAGGTTGAAAATCCAGCCAGGGAGAAGGAGACGAACCAACAACAGGGGTTCACTTGGATTTTGGGTTGTATTGTGGGGATGTAATGTTTGTGTTCACACTCAGGATGGGTTAGAGAAAGGAAACTCACGATGTGCTCTCTGTATACATGTTGTATTGGATGTACAATGCATCTTGGTGCTGGGAAGGCAGCATGGTTACAAGCGTGATGTAGAGAGAGCTGGTTGGTGAGGATGCTCAGAGGAGGACCAGCTTGTGGGTCGCCAGCGGGAGCGAGGATGCTCGCCGGCGGGAGCGAGGGCCGCCAGGCAGCGGCGGAGGAGGAGGAGGTGTTGCTGGCTGGTGGTGTAGGTAGAAAGAGACAGGTCACAACGAGGTCAGGTCTTAAATAGCGGGAGGTAGGCGTGGCTTAGTAGTTGACCCCAGCTCCGTGATGTATGGCGCTGCTGGTTGACCTAGACCACGAGGCATACACTGGGGAATTGGTGGGGTCGGCTACTCGGCGACAAACAGCGTTTGTATGGGAGAAATCCACTACAGTATATCGTAACGTGCGTATTTCTCTCCCACAAGTCCAGGGTTCAAATCGCCTCTGGTTTAAATGTATGTCTGACGTAGCACGATATCCGGTTTTCGCCTGCACCAACATTGGATAATCTAACCACCCAGATGGCTTGTGTCCCGATATCAGGTGTTCTCATATATTATAAACAAAAATACTCAGCCTTTGGATACGCCCCGAGTAACTACACCACTAGCAACCACGCCACTAGCAACTACGCGTGTATTATCATTTTATATTTAGCCTTTCATCCAGAGGTTTGCCACTGAGGGAATTAGTATGACTGAACATTCATAAATAGTAAATGAGAAAGTCTGAGGTAGGTTATTATTGCATAGGGACGAAGCCATAATGTGGGGTGAAATGAAACCTAACCTAACCTCACCCCCGTAAATCAAACCAAGTGTGTCTGTAGTGATGATGAATTGTCGTATAATAACTGGGGATCATTCGGCAGCATCAATCATCATCATTATTCATCATCACCATCATTATCATCATAATTCATTATTTATCATCATTCATCATCGTCATCACATATACGCCATCATTTTCGTCATCATTCATCATCATCATTAGTCATTATCATCTATCATCACTCACACCACACATTACCACCCCTGAGCCCTCTCCCCCGCCCGCCTTTACCAGCAGTGTCAGTTGGTACAAATTAGTGGTTATTTCGGTTCGTTTACGCCATTTTGTAGATTTTCTTATAAAATAAATATATCGTAATATACCAAATAAAAATCTTTGCTTGGCATATGCAATAAATTCAGATTATCTGCATGACATTACGTGTAATTTATTCAGAATGTATTCAGCATGCTGAACCTCTACCTATGGGAATATGTCAACCTGTCGTTTGTATCATGAGTTCTGAGTGGCAGCTCACTACAAAGGAAGCGCTGAATCTGTATCGAGAGTTCTGAGTGGCTGGGCACCACAACGAAGCGCTGAATTAGGAGTCGAGCTTGGAGCCACATTTCTCTGAACAATCTGTGATTTTTGTTGATCAGCTGAATAAAAAACGTTTCCCATTATTTCCTGCAGAAGCAACTCAGTTTTTCTGTTAGTGAGCATTTACATGTAATATCCGGTCCTTATCATTACAAGAGCGTTGGTTAGATAGAAATTTCGATCGGGTGGTTCAGTGTCTGGGAGTCGAGCTCTCAGTTGTCACTTTGGAAGGTATCAGTACTTTCTTATGGTATCAAATTAAGCAAAACAAATATGGCCACGCCAGCCATCCGATTAAGTGTTATTGCTAAGGTTCGCAAGTGACGCTTTATATCATGTGCTTCAACACCACAAGAGCATATGTTCGTACTGGAGATGGTTCAGTGTGTGGTGATGTGGATGAACTTTATACCAGGGACAGCCAGACGTGGAGGGAGGGAGCCGGCCAGTAGTAAGACGGTCGAGGCGATTAGTGGATGTGTGACGGAAGTTAACGTTTACAAAATGCTCCTAAATTAATACATCCTGTTGTCAAGGATTATAAGATACAGACGCCATCATGTGTGTGTTGGTGTTGAAAATTGTAAGGTATGTCGCTGTGCATATTTCCCTTACAACTTATTTCTCTCCCCAATCTACGTCAATTCGATAGCCCATTATTTGTATAGAAATGTTGATGACTGGGACTTAATTATACTGAATGATCTTGACAGCTTCAGTGGGGTAGAAATCCATTTCAACGTGATTTGTTTGTAGGAGTTTAAGGTTAGGTACCAGAACAAGGCGACCACCCACGCTGATTAACCCGACCAACTCCCCAAGACCATTATCCGGTTTAGCATTTATACGGAGTCCTTTAACACGACTTTAGAGGTTTATGAACATTAGATTAACACCTAATCTTGTCCATGATCAAACCTTATAAGTGGTTGTTCCCAGTCGGCGTAATGGAGATGTCTTAACTGTGTACATTATGCCTTCAGTCTTCATTGGTGTATTCATAAGTGTTCTAAGTGGTCTATGATTGTCGGGAACAAAATGTAAACAGTACTTTTAGGCTAAAACGTATGTAACAATATACAGTAAGCAACTAACCACTCAGCTCAGCCAAACTCAGCTCGACATTAGCCATCACCTGAAAATTAGGCACCCAATCAGATTTTACTTTATATACACAGAATTGCCACTTTTGGGGGGGGGGGGGGGTGTTAGGGTAGTTAATCTTCAGGTGATATAAGATGGTCTGCTGCCATATCTTCGTGATTTCTTAATTTTATCTTGTTTAAACCAAACACGATTTCTATGAGCGTTTTAAATCCCAGTGTAAGAGGCGGTGTTACCTTGTTCACCTGATAGTCAAATATTGTAGCCAGGAACAATCAGATCCATCTTGAGTACATCAGTTGGTCACTATGGAGGAATGGTGGTGGTGGGGAAGTGTCTGTGGTGGTGGCGGTAGGGAAGTGTTTATAGTGGTGGTGGTGGTGGCGGGGAAGTGTTTATAGTGGTGGTGGCGGGGAAGTGTTTGTGGTGGTGGTGGGGAAGTGTCTTTGGTGTGGAAGTGGTGGTGGTGGAGAAGTGTTTATAGTGGTGGTGGTGAGGAAGTGTTTATAGTGGTGGTGGCGGGGAAGTGTCTGTGGTGGTGGTAGGTAACTCACTTGCCAACCTCCAATCACCAGTGTAAAGGTGATATTTTCGACAAGTAGAATAATATACTTTTGTTCTATAAATTATTACATAGTCAAGTGAAGTATAATGGTCAAATAAATAGTTTACTTTCCATTATCACCGTATTTACTGTGGTGGGAAAAAATATTTGTGACCTTCGCAAGATATTCAATGATATTTACGGAAATGAAGAAGAGAAATTAAAGAATATCACTATGAGAAAAGAGGGTGTTCTTAGGAAGATAAATAAATTAAAGAAGACAAAATCCCCAGGGCCGGATGAAATTTTCCCTCCAGTTTTGAAAGATTGTAAGGAACAGATTAGCGGACCCCTCGTAAATTTATTTACAAAATCATTAGACACGGGAGTTGTGCCAGACTTGTGGAAACAGG